ATTGCTATCTAGATATATTTTGGCTTAAACACGATGCAATTAGCCTATTTGTTGAGAGGACATCACTGGAATGTTAGTAACAACAAGGTCCATTTTGCTTTTCAGCAGCCTGTTTTTCCTTATCGAGATTTCCATGAGGTGGTATGCTTTGAGGAGGTTTTTCTTGTAGTTTTATTTTCACTGCCGTAGCTCTCAATAAACATTGTTTTTGAGTATTTTAATATTTTTCTGTTTTCATATTATTTGGAGAATAGAAGTATGCTGTAGTGAAAGCAATATTTTTTGAAATTTGAGATAAAATATAAACCTCAATGTGAGGTTATTTTCAGTTTTGAAAAACATGACCATGTAGGCAAAATGTAGAACTTAATCATAAAGAAATTGGTTGATTGTCTTCCTGAGCACCCAGTAAATCTCCTTCATAATATTTTGATGCTCATTTTCTACTTGTCTCTGAAAGATTAAAGTATTTACTATAGATCCATAAATAAGTCATATGCATGTAGATGAGATGAATGTTTTATAAATATATTTTAATGTAATTTATAGTTATAAAACATGCATATGTTATATATACAACCTACATATATATACACATATATGTATATACACAAGCGTATATACCGTTACATATTTTATAATTATGTATCTCTCTCTAAAAATTTTATTAATGCTGCTTTTAAAGCTAATCTGATGCTGGCTTTAAAATACTGTTTGTAAGCAGTCTTGTTGCTTTGTACAATTCCAAACAGCATTGTATTTCCATTGTGGTTATTATAAAATTTGGGAATGGGAAATGGCGCATTTTTGATATCAGCTTTTTGTCTCTTGACATTCATTTTTTTTCTCCACCTTGCCTTTCAGGTATGAGCACATTCTGATGGCTCCGGACCCAGTACCACTGTATGCTCTGAAACTCTTGGTGGCCTTGACCGAGCACAGCCCTGCTTCTGTGAGGTGAGACAACTACACATTCTCTGTTGTTCTTTGTTCTTTCTGTTTCAATTTCTTTTTTCCTATTAGGAATTAGCAATAACAGATCTCACTATAGTACTGCTTTGACTACCACTTTGATTTAGAAAACCCCTGGAGAGTTTTTGTTATAGAACTCAGTCTTAGGTCTTTTGTGTCAATTTTATGTGATCCTGGTTATTTTAATATGGATTTAGCCAATAAAACACTAGAGACAAAATCATAAGAATTTTAGCATTAGAATTATCATTAAAATGTAAAAGAAAAAAAAAACCCAAAACATTATCAACATTTTTGTCCAGCTAAACATATTTGTACCTAGGACAAAGGTGATGTATTTGTTAAAGGTTTCCATCAGTCAATTAACTTGTAAGCTGGTCAGTTTTCCTGCAAATAGAACTACCTTTTAAAAGTTCCTAAATATGGATTTTAATGTTTGGTGTAGATATCCTCAATACGTTTAAAAGTATCTTAATATCTTTTTCTTCTTGTTCCAAAGTTTATCACTAGCATCACACTCTTAAAAAATGGCATGGAACTTAAACTGTGTGAGTAGATAGGAATAAGAAAGCATCTCTCTATCTTGCTGGATATGCCCAAAAATCTGGTTGTTCTTGCAGTCACTGTTCTGTTTGTGGTGTCTGATGTGTTACAGCCAAGAGGTTGCTGAGCATTGTACTGTCTTGCTTTGATTGGTTGAAATGAGCACAAGATTAAAAAAAAAACAAAACCAGAAGAAAAGAAATTTAATTTCCTTTCCCACTTTTTATTGCAGAACATGAATTTTACTCTTTTAATTGTTTATGATTCTACTGGGAATGGTGCTTTAATATACTAAGTAGACTGCAGATGAACGAGGAAATAGGTAGATTTTAAATTTTTTGGATTGTATAGAATAGTTTTTATTATAAAGAAGCTGTTTACACTATTGCAGGATTTTATGTATTATAGAAAGAAATAGAACAGTTATCCACTTTTAGAAATAACCCACAGATATTCTAATACTCTAGGAGTTATAAAGAATCTTTCTGTATCTTGAATGCTGGTTATATTGGCAGCACATTTCCGCTCCCTGCTGAATTCTTTTTATTTGAAGAACCATATATATTTACCATTAGGCTCAAATGCAGGTAGATTGTGGATGCACACTCATCCTTATGGCCATCTGCCAGCAGACAGGAGTACTTTTCTTAATATTATTAAAGAGCAACTCTGGACATTCAGCAAAACATTCATAATCTTAAATACCAGTATATCTAGTACTGTCATTTATGGACTGGCTACCAGATTCTAGATTAGCCATCAGCGCGCTTTTAGCAAGCGTGGGTAGAACCCTTCTCAAATCTTCGTTCACGAAGCCCAGCCATGATGATGACCAGATTCTAGATTACCCATCTGTAATTGTTCTGCTTCTCACATGCCTTACTGGTCCTCTTCTTTACTTTCACTAAATCATCTGTTTGGCTGGATTTCTGAAGGAGTGCAGTTTATCCCTTGGTCTATCTTCTTCCTGATTCTTTGGCTTCCCAAAAACTTGTGATGGAAGTAGCCAATGCTACATGACAGAGGTGAATAATATATTCATATTCATACAAGCTGCTAGTGAACAGAATGGAAACTAGGTACATGCTGTAGTGAACACTGTATCAAAATTCATTCTGTTTTGGTTTGATGACTAATTAATCAGTTCTCATGGAACTCAGAATTACTCAAGGCATATTTCTCTTTTGCCCCTTTCATTAGACATATGGAAAATATCTGCAAAAATTGTGATGGGAAGTAAATAAATAACACTGGAAATAAATAAGTAACGCTGGACACAAGTCCTGTGAGATTTAATTTGTTCTTTGTGGAAAAACTCTACTGCATTTTGCTACTGTTAAGAGTGATGTAGGTCACTGCACTGAGTCTCTGTAGCTTCTCCAAGCTTACATTTTATCAATGACTGGCTTTCAAGGATGGATACTTTCTCCTTTGACTTTAAAGGAATGAAAATGGTGGTATCAATACAAGTGTAAAATGACAAAATGTTAAATTAGCATTTAACTTACTGTTTCCATGCCTTTCAAAAATATCTATAATTAACCTTATTTTGAAATAAAGACTGAATTGGGAGGAGGAGAAGGGCTACAGTGCACTTATTTAGCTAGTTCCATATGATAGCTTGTTCTCAGACACGTTTACCTAACACTTTCTCTCTTTCTTGCTCTGTCTTTTTTAATTCCACCAATTTTCTTGTATCTCACACTTATCACTCTTCTTCCCATCAGCTCAGACTTTACCAATGTGCTTTCTGGCAGAGGCAGCAGCATTTGAGCAGTTCTTATTTTAGCACTTGAAAGGAGACAGATGCACTCCATTTTTTGTTTCATTTTTTTCATAGCTCATATTGTAAGTTAGCTAACTTGTAATATCAGAGGAGAGACATTTCATCTTTTTATCATTTTTGGACGCTTCTGTTTGCTATTGCAAGTTGTTTGTATATATGGCTTAGACACAGATATTTGAATACTATTGTATTTTTGATGTTTTTGACATTATTTTTTATATTTTAAGCTTATGATAAAATATACTAATTATAAAACATATTTTGAATGCCTTTAATTAGCATTTTGTAAGAATACAGAAAATACTTTGTAATCTCTGCCATTCCTCCACTGTTGAGGTAATTTTTAGCATTCTCTATTATGGTAACCCTTCCACCCTATTACTTTTCAATTTAGCAGTGGAAAACTCTAGTGATATCCCATTAGTGTGCTGCAGAATTAGATCTCTCACAAACATAAATTCCCTCTTGTGTAAGATGGTAGCTCTAAAAAACCCCAACTTTAATGTATTTCTGTGTATCCTTTAAGTGTTTGGACATCTGACCATATGAGTATCCACAGGAAGACAATCCAGTTTTAGAAAAAGATGATAGTTTTCCTGCTTGTTTTGACCTTAATGGGTTAGAGTATAATTGAGTCGAGTGTCTCCCTTTTTTACCTTTTTTTACATCATGCAATAATTGCTGTCTGGTACAACCTCACTTGGAGTTTGTTTAAAAAAAAATTGTCTCCTGTGTTAAGCGCTCTTGGTGGATTGTACTTGTGTGAAGAGTTCTTGAAGGTACAGAACTTCTCAGAGTGGGAGCAAATGCCTGCAACAGGGAGAGATCTGATTTAACTATGCAAAGTCTGTATTCAAAAAGAGCGGTATCATAAAATACTTTGTCCTCTTGTGTGTTTATCAACTTAATGTTATATGGGTGGATAAGAAGTAAGACATAGTCTATTAAGGGTTGAGATTTTTTTTTTTGTTCCTGCTTTGAGTCTTTTATGCTGTTTTGCTGTAGACTGTAATGATCAGATTACTATCTTTTTCTAGTAGTGAGGAGGAGTTAATATAAATGTCTTAGTTTCACTTAGTATGGTATACCAATTAGCTGCTTTTATGTGATTTGACTATTGAAAGGTATTCTATACTATGCTACTGCAGGAAACTTTTACTGGATCATGTTTTTTAACTTGCCTTTGGCCTTACAGATAACCTTCTGAAATGAAGCTGCGTGCTCTTCTGTGCAACTACTTGGCTTACCTTTAGTCAGAAACTCATACCATTTGATGACATTAATATATCTGAAAACTAAACCTTCTAAACTATGGAATCTGATTTTTATGGGATGATAAAATAGATATTTTTGGTGGCAAGGAAGGGAGAGAGTAAAAGTAATAAAATAGAGGTGAGGAGAGTGTGAGCTATTGCATCAAGTAATAAACATGAGAGTGGCACACATTCCAGTATTCTGTAATTAGGGTAATTTCTTGAGAGAGAAACATTTATCTAAGAACTAATGGTGTGACCCTTCATAGATTTATGGTGAAGGAGAGGGGACCAAATTAAGGAACCTTCCCCACCTCCTGTCCTTAAAATAAATTTCCCAGACAAACATTAGGCACTGCTCTAAAAAAGGGGAAGAGGTGTCACAAAACAAAACAGAAAAGTGCTGCAGAGCAACAACACCAAAAAAATGTGCTGCTCCTGAGTGCGACAGGTCTAGTACCTGTGAAAATGATAGATGGATCAACCTTGTACATAACAGCAGATTGTCTTGACTTATTAAAGTTACTTTTTATCATAGTGTCTTTGGAGTCATCCAAGAATGTCCAATTTTCAAACTTTATTTATCCTACTGTTCATACCCATTGCCATTAAAGGCAACTTCAGTATATTCTGAAATGGTCTATCTAATATCCTAGTCCCCAGTTTCAAAAAACGAACAGTAAAAAACCCCCCAAACGAAAACCCCAAATCAAAACCAAACTCTTTGGAGTTGATTTGGTGCTTTTAATTGTTTTGTGTTGGTAGCATTGTGATTCAGTTCACAAGAACTTTTTAGCTTTGCACACAGTTTGTCTTTGAACCTGCTGAGGTTTCTCTGCCATTATACTACAAGACCAGCACTTCAGTGCTTTCCTTGTGAATTGATTAATGTGCGTTTATATTAATTGCTTTAAAAACACTTTGTTCTTCTCATTAGTCATTTTAATTTCCTAGCTAAAGGTTGAAACACTCACTTTAAAAAGTAGATCTATTTGTTTCTAAATTACTTCTCTGTTTTTATGTGTTTTCTAGTTTTCTATGACTATGAATGAAATAAAATGGAATAGTTCTGATAGCAGATAAGCCTTAGGGCCTAGTCCAACCAAATTGAGCAGTAGAATTACATGTTAGAGGTGTACAACATTAGTGAGAAAAATAACAATGCAGATGGATTGAGAGATTGACAGTGGATGAAACTGTTTTATTAGGACTTTAGGGAATGTTTATGTAGATTTAGAACCTGATTTTGATTATGCTAGTTCACATCTATGAAAAATGAGTTGTAAAACCCCCGGTTTTCTTATTAGGAAAGTAATGCCAATATAAAACAGCAAAGAATTCCTATGAACTTTGCTATTCCTATTTTTTGATGTAATATTTGCATATATGCTGCTTTATCGAATAATACCAGGCAGGGAAACTTGCCCAGAAACAGACTCTCGAGATGTTAAGTTGTGTGTCAGCTAATAACAGTGTTGTCAAGTCGCACATGATTGTAATTCATATCAAAGGCAGTGGTCAGAGTTCATTATTGCAAGTGAGTTCTCATAGTCTAGTCATGTACAGACTGTAATACTAATCACCGTTTTTAATGTAAAACACCACTCCTTGGAGTTACATTTTATAAAAGCTCCCCTTCAGTAAAGAAATTAGCTATTAACCTTAAACCTGTAATTTTGTCTTCTCTTTCGTGTTGCTGATCAATTGCTGCATGTCTAAGTTGTAAAAATGTGAAGCTAATATTTGATGTTACTGTTAAGTGAATTTTTGAAAAGTGTTGTATTGGAAGGTTCACATATTTACTCTTTTAATGTAAAACATTAAAAAAAAAAGGAGAAAATGCCATTCATTCTTGGCTTTTTTTTCAATTGTGAATTTTTACCTTGGGTAATATAAATAGCAAATAAAAAATAAGCAGATAATGAGGAAAAGTCAGCTGCTTGGGTGCTACAGTTGGAGCTGCAGACCTGAGTGAATTCAGTTCTGTCATGAATCCTCTGTTCACCACAAAGCAAATGTGAACCCCGCTGAAAAGTCCATTCTCTTATGTTCTGTAGTAGGTGCCCAGAGACTATAGGAAGAAATCAGGTGAATGGGTATACTTTCAGGAGGTTTTCTCAGATTGCTGTGAGTTGGTTTTTTTTCAGAAACCATGTAAGAATTTGTGGTGTTCTGTAGATAGTAGCTATTGAGGAGTAATTTTCATTAATTTTCGTGGGTTGAAAGATATATTTGACAAATAACAATAGTAGTTAATCTATAGCATAATCATATGCATATGAAATTTTATCATCTTCAGGTATTTTCTTTGGATTTCTTTGTCTGATCTGGCATTTGACATTTAATTTGATACCATCATCTTATGGTGGAAAGGAAGCACACTACTTCATAAATTTCTAGAATATTGTCTCCTTTAGCTGCGCCTTTGCAATCTGAACAGTCATGGCTAGTTTTTAAGATCCCTTATCAGGGGTCCTTCTGCATTCTGAAAGCTCAAGCATACTGTATCAACCAACTGACCAAATTCTTCAAAAATTTGTTGTGGATTTGACATTTCATACCTTTCAAATGAATGTCTTGGTTCTTGCTCTGTGCATGTCCACCAGTTCTGTTCTTCAGAATAATTTCTATTCATTTGTTCAGCTTAGAATGTTTGTAATACCCAGGTTTTCACCCCCCCCCCCAACTTTTCTCTAAAGCTTATATCTGATAGCATCACCTTCTCTGTCTTTTAAATTTTTAAGGGATCACACCTGTAACAAAAAGCCTTTGATGTTCAGTGTCCTGCAGTAGGTCTGTGTTTTGAAAAAGATAATTTATGATATCTTAGAAAAACATATCTTGCAAATTGTTGGAAAGCAAAATTGGAAGTGTAATCTCATTCTGAAAGTTGTTAGTGTATTAAAAATTCAGATTATACTGGTAGCAAGTCTTATCAGATGACCAGTTACTTTAAGCTAGCTGTTTATTTATACATAGATTTAAATGAGAAGAACATGTTTAGTATTATTATTTAGTATTATGATTGGCTTATGTGTATTGTGATGATTCTGTGTGTTTTCCAAGCAGAGTGGGACCTAATTAAATATAAATTTTATAAAAATCTATAAAGAGCCAAACTACTTTTGGTTTAAAATATGAACATTTTATGAAATAAATTCCATAGCTAAACTCCTCTTTCACTGGCTTTAAGACATTTCCTTTGTAAAACTAGGTAAGATAGCAATGAAGGGTGTGGTAACGTCACCCTCTCTCTTTGGCACATATATGCAAAGTTGGGATAAATCAGCTTTAAGCTTTGTCTTAATATGATGCTTGATGTGACTTTATGCTTTAGCTAAGTTATGTGTATAACTTTCTTTAGAGGCTGCAGCTGTTTTTTGCTTCAGTCATAAAGGTTTGCAGGTGACCTTTAAGAACAGCCATATAGGCTCTAGTTTTTTTTTGGCTTATCTCAGCAGTCAGCAAAGCTAACTTTGTAATGCTCTAACAATCGGGACTGCTTGCAGGTTTTGGAAACAATTGTTTCATAATTTACCCTTTACCACAAAAGCATTTTTCTAGGTTTAGCCTTAAATAGGATTGCTTGGCTATTCTTGGTATTTGATTGTGTTTTACTGCTAATGTGCTCACAGTTTAAATGCTACTTATGTAGCCAAGTGAGCAGCTTTTGCTGGGGTAAGTAATTCCAATAAGCCCTAAGCACAAGTAGGTTTGTGCTGGCAAAACTTAATTTTGTCAGTACAATTACTGTTACAGTTGTTGCTCTTTTTGGGAGTCTGTGGTGTTTAAATGGGATTTTTTATGTTCAGTATTGTTATACCCACATCAGCAAAATTCTGTTGTACAGGCGTGGCCTAAGCTTGTCATTTAACTCATAGATTTGGGTCTGATAATGAACCTCAAACATAATGTCTTCCTATCTGCAATGCTGGGACTCTCTTATGAACTGGCTATGTCCAAGATGCCATAACTGTCTATTTAGGAGTTATTAGACTGCCCAGAGGAGAACAGCTTTCTACTGTTTTCTACTACATATGCAATTTTTTCCCCTTCAACTTAATAATAAGAAAAGTTGTCCTTAAATTCAAGCTTCTAAACTTAGAAATGAGTTTCCTTACAGAAATTCTTCTCTCTCTTGGGTGTAACATTTCTGTATGCAAGAAAAAATAAACACATTTGTTTGAACAAGGCTATTACTTAGTTTTGTTAAATATATATATATAGGTGCATAAAATGAGTTTTATTATAAATTAGGTTTATTCTGTTTTGAACAATTTAGTGAGTGTGTTTTACTCATCTCTAGGTCCAAATGCCAGTACTGTACAGTGTAACAGATCTTCTTATGCTAAACCCCTGCTCCCTCCCCAAACTCGTACAGATTCTTATCAGAATCAATTTTTAGGTTAAGGCAAGGATCAGAGAAATAGAAAAACAGTAAGAAATAGTAAACCATTATTCATACATAATGCACACATCTACATTACTCAGAAGTAATTCTTAGTTCTTTGTAGATATGGTTGTTCTGTTAGCGTGGCTTTCATTCCTTATTGTATTTCCTTTGTATGACGTGATTGCAGCAAATGTGAACAACCAGAGCTTGACTGGTGACATTAACCTCAGTGAAGCATTTTATTCTTTTATGACCCTTGGATGTTTCTTCTAGTTCTCTATGAATTTTTTCATTAAGTTCATAGAGGAGAATGTTAAATTTCTTTTAGCCACTTCAGTTCACAATACAGTACTTTAGCTTACACTATCCAGTAAAATAATACCTTCTCTTTTCTTACTGGACATGACTAAAAACTCTGCAATTGAACTATGTGATTTTAGGAATATGTAAGTTCTTTTTAACAAATAGTTTACCAAACAGAATTAATCTGATTACTGTTGTACCAGAAGCCAGTATAGAGTTTTACATAGTAAAGCTTCAAACATGAAATTAGATGCTTGTCTTAGTCAAATATAACTCATGTTTATTCACAGAGAATGATATAATATAACTTTGTGTTTTTAACTGACATACTTCTTGAAAGACAATTTTGTAGTTTGCTGTCTGATAAGTTCCCAGACATTCTCTCTGTGTTTGAGTTCTGTGTTTATTACACATGATTCATAATACACCCTTATCTTACTCTATCACAAGGATAAACCTACCAGTTGCTTATGAAGCACTTCAGTAATCTTACAGTGACGCAATAGAAAATTTTTGAAACACACAATTTGGTATTCTCTGTCATGCTTGGTGAATAAGCATCTAGTATAGTGTATAAGAAAGGTGACAATCATTCTTCAGTCAAGACAATATAATACAGTTAAGAGTATGTAATCATATGGTTCATATATCACAGCGTGTGAGAGACACACATGCTTTACTAATAAATATCAAGTGTTTTGTGTTCTAAGAGTAGAAAACACTGCATTAATGTAAGGTATTACTGTTTTTTGAGAATATTCTTCTTTCTTATAAACATATACATGCTGGTTTGTATCTGATTTTGAAATGCAGGAGAATATATCTAACTTCTTTAGGGCCATTACTCCTCAGCATTGTCAAGAGAATTGGCTGACAAAAGTATCACATAGAAATATGTTAAACCCAAGAAGCTAGTAAATATAGCATGCTTTAGAAAAACACAGCATATTTATAATTCTATTATGTGTGCTGAGTCTGTTAATTAAAATAGTTAATGATGCACTCTGTTTTATAGTATGTATAGTGCTATACTTATGAATTTTTATTAATTTCTGCCATTAAAAAATATTAACTTAATTACTATTCCACTCACTTGACTCGCATCAGTGAAGCAGACCTGGCAGTAATTTCCAAAACAGTCTGACATTGCTGTTCTATTTAATATCTGAAGTGGAGCTCATTTTTGTTGAGAGCCAGTCTAAGGCTAAGGTTTTGGGTCATGGATTTTGGCAACAGCTATTCTAGTACTCTGTTTCCATTGTGAGTCGAGTGTGTTAAAAAAGAATTCCATTCCTCTGTTTTTAAATAAATCTTAAAATATGTTTTTACAGCCTCGTGGAAGAAATCCATCTTTTTCCAGTTCTTTTCCAAGTCATTTTGGTAAGAATAATTTTTAATATATATATTCTAATAGATAGGTATCAAATCTCTCAAATCATGTCAAACTAGTAAGTTTCATTAGGCATGTTGATAAAATAATAAAACGTTGATAAAATAATAAGACATTGATAAAATCAAATGAAACAGTCTATCTCGTGTAAGTGGTCATTTATGCAGTTCTCACCAACTAATCAATCTGTAAAAAGTTTCCTTAAAATACTTTTTCTTTTTTAATCAAAAAACCTTGTGAAAAATAGAACGAATGAGCTTGATCCCTAGTTAGAACTATATATTTGCCCAATTGAAGCAAGAAACGCTGATGAAGTTGCATTTTATTTAATAGTATCAATTGCAATTTTGATACTGTTGGCATGATGGTCTTGATTCCCACTATTTGCTTTTGGAATTTCTTTCAATAGAAAGTATCGAGGGTAAGATTTTGGATAGTCACCTGTGAAATTTCCATCCCTAAATAGGATCTGCCAGTTATAAGTGTCAGGAAAACTGCTGATGGTTTTCTTTCTCTGATATGTTGCAAAACAAATGTGTTAATGCAGAAGAGAAATGTTTAGGCTGGTTTGGAATCTGAGTACTGTGCTATCCATTAACCTTCTCATTGCTAAATTCCACAGACTCTTATTTATTTTTTTAATCTTTATGTTCATGAAGTTGCATCAGGTAAGTGTCCTGTCATGTAAGCACGCTCTTGATGAATACTAAATACCTGTTATAAATAAATATGCATAATTTATACAGTGTCGGCTTGTTGCATACGTGCTTTTGCATCATTCTTGAAATTCAGCATTTTTCAGATGATGTTCATAAATGTGATTTTGAATCAACTTTGATATTCCTTTCTTAGGTTTAGTTATTTTAATCTTCACTCTTCCTTTGTGGTGATTTATTTCACTGCCTATTATTTTGAATCTCTTTAATACTGCATAACCATATAAGCCCTTTTTTATTAAAGTAACCTCTTCAGTGATGATAGATTTTTCCAGCAGCGTATGTAACACAGGCTTTATGATATTTTATGTACACATATGTACAAATCTCTTTTTGTGATAAGTATTAAGAATAACAAGCCCCAAGATTTTAAAAACCCCGAGATTTTATAGTATTCCATAAATAGTTTTGACCTCGAAGGAGTACTACTTTTAGGTAGTAATAAAAGAAGAATACAGTAAAATATGGAAGTTAGATGTTTCATATTAATCTTTAAATATCGAATTAATGTTTGAAATGTCCTTAGGTGCTAGAATCTTGAAATTTAGCTTCAAATATGTATATATATATGTTGGTCTATAGCTATGAGTTTTGAACATGGTTACGATCTCTAGAAATATTCCCAGATATTGACAATTTTTTTGTAATTTATCTGTAGTGATGGAATTTAAAATGTGTGTATGTCATACCATTGTAAGTAGGATGAGCTAGAGTCAGTCATAAATGCTGCTTCCTGAGCTCCCTACATGCAGTTTGCCCTCATGAGTTCTAGAAATAGTTTGGGGTTTTTTAGGAAGAAAAAAAGCAGTTCAGCTCAAAATTGTCTGCAATTCTGTGAAATTTTCACAGCTCTCTTGAACCCATATAGCTGTCTTTGAGGTTATGGTTAAGAGTGGTGAGGGGGAAATCTTGTAGCTTTTAGGGAGAAAAAAATTTCCCCCTTCATCATGCTTTGTTCTGAAAGAACACCTGTAATTGCTTCAATTGCCATATGCAGCATTCAGGCTATAGTAGTAGTCTGGCTGTCAGCTGTGGTCTTGTTTGACTCAAGGGATGTAAGATATGACACCCTAAACAGTAAGGAGGGTGGCAACCTGTTCCTCTGTTTTCCCTACAGAAAAGTAAATTCAGCAAAGGCAGGTTAGGTAATTAGAAAAGCTCGGGAGCCAGGACTGAACAGACTGGAAGAATTAATTGTTAGGCTGTTTTCCTCATGAGCAGAGTGGATTGAACAGAACAGATTAGCAAACTCCTGTATTACAGGTTTCTGAAATATTTTTCATAGTCATATGGATGAAGGGAGTTGCCTATAATTTACTTCTCATTATTCTCTGTAAACTAGTCTTTGTTTAGGTTTCTACTTCTGTTTGTTTCAAGAAACAGTGCAAATAGAAACACTGAGCTCTATGCTGTTGTACCTAGAATTTTAGCAGACCGTGATCTATTGAATTTGCATTATGCTTCAGAGTCAATATACTATTTTATATTGACATAGTATGTAAATGTAGAGCTGTTACTATCAAGTTCAAGGAATATTACTAGTCCTGCATGACTTCTGTGCCAAGACTGAATATCCAATGTATATTTTCTATGTAGCATTAAATATAGTTCATATTATTTGCTGTGATGTGACTGACAGGACATTGTTAGACTCTGAAGGGAAATATTGTCGGCTCAGAACTCGAAAGTATCTCCAAGAGCATTCTTTGTTTCTAGGCTGTGCTACAATCTAAGTGCAATTGAATGTGCTAACTTTAATCTAGCTATCTCAGTAGCAAGGACGTGATGGCTTGCAGATACTGAGCAGTTCACAAGAAATAGATTTTAACAGGACTGCTTTTCCCTGCTTGCCAGTGTAGAGTTACCTCTTTTACTCAATACTATTCTATGCTTTGGTCTAAGCAGTAACGCTGAGATTTTATTTTCTATAATCTCAGTGAACCAATTAGATCTCTGAATTCAACTAAAGCACATGAAGTGTATCCTTTGATAATATTTACGTTGTAGTTGCCAAACAAAAAGGACTGGATTAGTGAAAGAATGCTGTCTACCCTAAACTTTTCTAAGAGAATAGCTATTATTTATATTTACCTCAGCTAGGTTTTAGTTGGTGATCTAATTAGTAAGAGGCTTTAAATAGAGTTCCAGTTCCCCTGGAAACCTCAGCACTCATTTATCTTTCAACACTTAGTTACATTTAGGAAATGCCCAATAATGGTGTACTTTGTGAGGATGTGAGGACTTCTCAGTTCTTGGTTATAGAATTTCAGAGGGGAATTTCATGTTACACCTGAATGCAATTTAATTTCATCAGTACCATGATCCCAGATCCTAGTGCTAGCAGTTATGTAGATTATGAGTAATTCTATAAAGCAACATGAAGGTATGACTGTAATAGGAGTGAACTTTGATCTTGCTACAGTATCTGATGTGGTCAGCGATAAATGTAGGGATGTATATTTGTGAAAAAAAGGAGATATATTGACAATACATGAGTATTTTCAGGACAGTACGTGACTGAAAAGCAGAAGGAAGGTTGGCATCATAATGTGCAAAAATAAAAAGATGCAAACTCCCCTTGATAACAAGATTAAAAATCATGAACCAAATTCCATGATTATGTAAATGATGCCAAAATTGAGTTGATATAAGATATAAATATGAAATGCTGCTGTTGATGAAGAAAGGACTGTAGCAGGAGAAGTTACTGTGGGATATGTTCCAGGTTTTATTTTCTTGCTGCCTTTTTCTGCTACATCCTCAGCATTCTGTTTTGAATATATTTTACTATGTCAAACCTGTCATCTGTCTACAATATGAGTTTATGATGTACAAAATATTATTTTTTAGTATTATGTTGTAATTCTGGAATGAGGTTGATAAAGGATTTGGAAGTGGTTTACTGCCATATTTGTAAATTATGGCTATTTGTATTTTAGATTGCCACCAAGATTTTCACATTGCTGAGTAGCAAGCGGTGAAGTTGGCATAAATGTTATTCTCTGTGCTGTGTTACTTTCTAAGTTAGAGTAACATCATAAATATTACCTGGCCTTCCTTTAGATTTATCTGAAGGTAAGCTGTTGCATAGAAAAAAAATTCTGTGTAGTTGGTGAAATTGCATTTTTTCTGCTAATAAGTTTTAAAACTAAAGCTAATGATGCTTGTGATTAGGAGCTCAGTGCTACCCTGTTTTTAAAGCTCATTAGTCAATTGGGTGCTTATCCTATTAAAATCTTTGGTGTAGCTTTTAATCACACCAACATGTCACAGACTTCAGGTTTTTCTGTAAAATGTTTTTTTACAAAGTTCTGTATTTTAATGGCCAGCTAAAATTTAAAGGCTTATTGTTTTAATAAAAATTATGTTATAGTAAGATTGAAAGATATTGTATTTATAAATTTTATCTTATTAGTAAATACCAGTGTCTTAACGTCTAAACTGTAGATATACAAATATAATGATTGTTTTATTTATATTGCTATTCTGTCCTTAGCACAAACAAGCCCACATCTTTTCTTTACATTTTGGAAATAACTAAAATTGATTTTAAAATTACGAATTTTAGTTTATTTTCCTTGAAATACTGTGGAAAGAAGCTACTGTATATACTAATAATACTTGTTTTCTGACCAGTCTCACTTCTGAAAATACTATAAAAATGGAGAAAAAGAACATTGGAAAAGAAAAAGAAGAAGCTTATTATTCCTCTTTTGCTTGATTTCTGTTTTCTAGTGAGTGATTACAGTCAATTATTATTTGAGGGGAGAGGTAGAGGTATTTTTCTGCCACATGGATTATAAGGATAGAGGAACATGTATTGGAGGTTATTGCAGCACTTGAAGCATTCGTTTACTTGTGTCTGCTAAACTAAGCACTTCTTAGTCCAGCATGGTACCCAACTTGTTGATTGTTTAAAAGAATGGGGAGCACATTTCTAACTCTTGCAAGTGTTTGTAAGCCAATCCAGGGTGGGTACTTGAAACAACAGAGTAGGAAATTCTTATTCCTATATTCTGTAAGAGAGTACAAGTTTCTTCTGCTGCTAATGAATTTCACCATTCATTACTGCTTTTAGGGAAAATCTGCATTTATAAGGTATCTGAAATGATATTCTAAGATGAATATTTGTGGCTCCTACAGGATGAGCATTAGTTACAGTCAGGAAATTTAAATGTATCCATAATGAATATCTCCATATTTTTTCTTCTTGTGAAGTATGCATACTGTCTACACTCAGTAAGGTATTACATTTGTTCTCTTTTTAATGCTAA